TCCTGCCATTTGCTAAAAATGCTTCTGGGGGACAAGCTGCTGGGGAGCAAAGGTCGACTGGCATGCTGCCAGCTAAGTGCTGCAATTCCCGTTGTCTCAGCAACTGCTATCTAGAAATTTCTGGGAGGTTGGGTATGGTTGCCAACCACTCTATCCCTTCTAAAGCAACTGCACGGTTCTTTTTTTAAGCCTTCTTTGAAAAGGGTTAGTACCTTTTCCAGGAGACCTGTAGTTACAGAGATATTTGGAGAATCACGTTACAAGCTTGAACTTCACGGCCTTTCACAGACACACGAAGGCAAGGAAGGGGACTCTGTCTTTGCCAGGAGAGTTTTAGGGTACAGGAGTCCCATGCCAAGAGTCTCGGAAGCAACAGCATCCCTTACCAAGAAGGTTTATGCTTTGTCCAGGCCCAGTTCCTCTGGAGTGGAGATTCCCAGTTCACTCAAAGTTGGTCTAAGTTCCTGGATAACGTAAGGATAGATTTCCTTGTGAGGTCCTGCCTTGTCCTAAAGGAAAAGGAGCGGCATTATTTCAACAGCAAGCTGTTGTCAAGGTCCACCAGCCAGGTTTGCAATCAAGAGCTGTGTTCACACACGGCCCGTGGCCTGATCCAGCCGCTGCTCGTGAGGCTGGATGACGCAGGACAGGGGAGCACAGCCCAGCTTCATCTGTGTGTCAGGTAAGCAAGGCTGGCATACAGCTATACTGGAAAGTCCTCCTACTAATTGATGGTGGCTGAAAAGCACCCCGGAATGATGCTGAACTCCCCTTTGGGGGATTTACAGATTATTCTTAACGTTTGACACCTTTCCCCTCACTTAACATCAGGTTGATGTGACCCGTGACATGCGTGTCACACCACACAAAACTAAAGGCCAAGCCAAGCTCTTTCAACAAGGGATGCTTGTTGAAGCCCAAAGACTGCTTATGCCTTAGGAAACAGAATAAAAATTATATCCAGTCAGTAAAATGGGAAAAATAAAATCAGCTTTTGGGCAGACCTGGGTGAAGATTTAACTTGCTTGGAAATCAAGGGAAAAACATCACCCTCTGAGTAATATTTAGGGGGAGCTCCAAGAAGAGCATATGCTTGTCCCCAAGTTCTGATAAACTGAGTTGTCCCCTAGATGGTGGGGACAAAGTGTGTGTGTGGGGAGATATAAAGAAAACATACAAAGATTATTCCATTGGTCTTACATCTCAAAAACCACTGAAAGTTTCCGTTCTACACAAGGCAGCACGAGAGCAGACATGGCAAGCTGAGAAGCAACTGGTTGTGAAGTTTGAAGCAAGCATTTGACAGCTAGCAACAAAGACCTCCACGCCAGTCCTCACTTGTGGCAAAAGACAGTTGGAAGAGCATAGCTGCTGGCTTCCACAACTGAAACAGAACTCCTGCCTCCATCCCCACCCACTTTAACTCCCTGATAAGTGAAGGCTGGATTCAGGTTTCAAGGTGCTGGTTTATGTTGTTTTTCAAGCCTATGCAGCTTCCTGAGTTACTACTCCCAACCAGCTCAGCATTCAGTCCTTTAAGAAGCCAGTGAGCTGCCTTCACTTGAGATATTTCTAATAATGCTTATTAAAAAAAAAAAGGAAGAAAAATCCTTGGAGACTTTCCCACCCCAGTCAACATCAGGAAAGGAAAATACGCACGTAAGAATGTCATCCTTGTGAAGCTGTGCTGTTGAGTACTCTTACCTCAAAAGAATTATTTCAAGCCACCAAGCACATGCTCATAACGAAGCTATTGATTCTGGCAACATGAAATAGCGGTTTCCTTTTGCACCAACTAACAGTAAGCCAAGAAAAACCCTTTTGCTGCTGGGCTCTCAGCAATGCTAACACAGCAGTTACACCCCAGGCTGCCACTCCACTCACCTTTACAACTTCTAAGATGCGGACAGCACTGGCAAAGTCATTTAACCGTCTGCACGCCCTCAGAGCTGCATCGATGATTTTTGGTTCCGGAACCAGGTCATAACCCACAAGCGTGTTTATGCCTGTGAATTTAAGGAAACACCAACAGGAATCTGGCATCAGCTCATCGTGCTATTATCAAAAGCAATCTGCTGAGCATTATTTTGCTCCACCTCATGAAAGAATTAAGTATTAGCACAGCACCAGTCACCATTAGAAGCTGATTACAATTTTCACTGCTATTTTGGGGACACAAAACTGCCAAGGCTCTTCTTTTGCTCTTTTCCCTCTCACTGTTGCTCACTACTGTAGATTTAAAGACTTTAAGTGGATTGAATGAAACCCCAGTGGGCCAGTTTCATCCATATTCCCCAAAGGAGTCAGGGTCAGTACTGTGGCACATCAGTTACGGAATCCTTAAGAAATCCAAATGCCTTCATTCCTATAGGTGTAATGAAACTAGAACTTGAGCTGCTGCCTATTCCCTTCCTCTCTTTTCCACGGGAAGAGTCCAACACCTAGTCATCCAGGTGATGCTGGAATGATCCCTCTGGCTGTTATGCAAACACATTTTTAAGCCTTAATTGGGGTAGTTTAATAGGAGCTGGCAACTCCACAGCAAATAACTGGAGACAACCAGACAGTCTACAGTGAGTTATGGCCAAGCCATTAACTCAAAGTCCAAATAAAAACACGAGTGGTTATTCACTAAGGAACAGTTGAGTTCAAATACACTTTCCTCGAGCAAACATTTCTCTCCCTCCCACCCAGCTGTTAAATGTGTCTTCCGGGACACTAAAACATGCAAAGCCTGGACTCCCACCACCTTGTACCCCCCCCGCCTCATTCCGCATGCCGTGGTTCCTTCCAACCCACTTCTTTGGTTGGTGAGGTGCCATCACCTGCTGCAACAGGCTTAGAGCTGAGCAAATAGCAGCATTCCAACCACAGGCACACGCGGAGCAGCCAGCTAACTCGGAACAAATAAGGCTCACATAGTGCCTTGCCCCAGCAGGGTATTTACAGGATTGCTCTCCTACACCAAACTCCCAGTTTTCCCTCTCTCTACTCTCCAACAGCAAAATAAAAATAAGTTGTTATTTCTGGTCACAAAACTATTATAATGCAGTTATATTTACTCCACGTTACTCTTCCCTCTTCACTCACCATACCTTTCCTGAGCTCCCAGGCATCGATGTCTGGCTTGTTGAAATACGTCACCCAGCGAGCATCAAATTCTTCATCTGATTCTTGTGACCCATGAGAGTAGCAGCGGGCATGCAATACAGCTGAATGCAGGAAAAAAAAATGGAAGAGACTTAGAGCAAACAGAAAATAACTGTACTTTAGTCCTGATCAAGAGCCATAAAATAGATATTTTGCTCACTACAGGCAGCCCGGATCAGTCCTCAGCCTGGATAAGCACTGGATGAATATAGCTTATTAAATACAGGTTGTTTGTTTTGTGGCAAAGTGTGTATTTTCTGTTCTACATAAGACTTCCCAGACCCTTTGGTCAGAGCAGGGTTATTTAATGAGAAGGGGAAATGCAAGAGGAGAAACAATTCTGCGTAACCAGTCCTTAAGAGAAGTTTCCTGGGATCCCTGTGTTTGCAAGATATAGGAATTTCCCCTCTTCCCAGAGCCAAGCAAGCCAGAGAAATATAACATACACGTATTTCATCAACCGACACCCTGAAGCAGCACGATTGTTCTGTTCCCCACATTCAACCCTGCTCAAAATCATAGCATGTGTCCGTGCAGTGAGTTTAGCTACATGAATCAGTTTTTCAATGGCATTCCTTCCAGAAATAAAATCCTATTAGTTATACCGTTACCCACTTAAGATGAATATGCTGCTTTATTCTGGAGTAACTTCCCACTGTAGACAACTCCTGAAACTGCTCCATAATCAATTTTGTAATCCAGGAAAAGAAGATTTCCCAACCAACAGACTGACTGTGATGGATGACTCAATAGCAACGAGCTTGCGGGTCTTTTGATTCCTCCACGAGTTCAGAGCTCGATGAAAGCTTGTTGCAAAGCGTTTTTAGGAATCTGCACAAAATGACCCGAGCCCAACGAGGAAGGTTCTCAAAAACAAAGGGACAAGAGCTACTTCTTCCAGCAGGCTACTGGAGGGTTGAAGGAGGGGAAAAAAAAAACCCACACAACATTGTTGTCTCTGCAAATTATCCCAAGATAAAACTCCTGGATCTCAAGGTTGTAATTGCATTAATATTTTATAATTAATAAAGCACAGAAGTGGATTGTACTCCAACGGACAAAGGAGGCTGACGTGATTATGAACTCATTTCTTCCCTCAACACTACTCTATCAGAAATTGCTTTTTTTGGGGGGTCGGTCTTGTCTTTTTTAACCCACAGAGGTTGGCACAGTTTTCCAAAAGGAACTAAAGCCTAAAACCTACCCGTAGCAGAGCTGTCCTGGGTCCTCCCTGCAATGTCCGAGCACTCTGCAAGCCGCCTTACCCACAGAACACAAGCCTGGCTAGAGACTGCCGCCTTTCCCAGCTGGTAGTTTCGCTCCACTAGTATTTGCAGAGACATCAGACACCAGATATGACCTTGCCAGCTTGAAGCTCCACTTCAGAAGTCAGATACGACTAGTCACTTTTTCTTTTTTAACCTAGCATGAACCACTCGCGCTGATGAACTACACGGTTTTATTTAAAAGGAAGAAACCCCTAAACTAGGTTGCATTTTTGCATCCTTCCCAGATATACTTTTCTACTTTAGAGATCATAGTGAACAGCATAGTGCGAAACAGCATCCTAATTCTGCATGAAATATGATGGAACGAGCCACAACAGTTTCAAGGAATATCTTTAGTCTCATCAAATGACAGCCTAATCAGAATGCAATCCAGATTTTAAACAAAATTTAACGTACTCCAATATTTCAGCTGCAATTCTAGTTTATGCAATACTTCCCAAACCAATATTTTCATTTGTTTTATGACATAACTAGGGAAAAATAAATGACAGGCCAAGACAGAATTATAATATTCTTGTGCCATTCCCCAGGGAGATTCCCCATCCCCTTCCCAGCTCCAAAGCAGATCTTTGACCCTGCTTTCTCCAATAAATCACGTGCACAGCTGAGCTCAGAGCAAGAGCCCCCCTCTGTAAATGCTCCTCTGCCCAGGCAGGGACTGAGAAGACACCAGTGAAAAACCCTCAGATGCTGGTCGCTTGGGGGAGAAGATTTTTCTTCCTAACACAAAGGAAATCCTACAGAACAACAGCAAATCTCAGCTTGGGAAAAGCCTAGATTGAAGTTCTTGAATGCCCTCTTTAAGTGGAAAAAATAACTTCTTTCCACTGAGCACTCAAAAAAACCATTTCCTTTAATCTTAAGCAAACAAACAACTTGGTTAGATGAAACGGATCCGGAAGAAAAATAAAAAAAGACCACGAGAATTTGAACTCTGGATTTCCAGGACGCATTTTTTGATTGCTGCTACGTTTCTTTACCACCCTTTGTCTTCCACACTAATGCTTGTATCTATATATCGGAGACCAGACTCTGTGAGTGACTCTGGCGAAGCAGAAGCACCACAGGAGCCAGCTGGGTGCCCCGCACTTCAGTGGGGTCCATCAAGGTCACCGTCACACACACAATGCATGTGTGACAGTCAAACCATGCCAACTCATCCGTGTGGAGATTCCCAACTCAAGGAAGAGGCAAAGGGCAAGTATTTTTGCGCTTTCAAGAGAATTCAACAAGCTTCAAGAGCCCAAGCAGCCTCAAAATCATCTAATATTAAACAAACACATGTTAAAGCTTCCCCAGGTGCCAGAATTTGTCAGCTTTCCCTGTTAATGAGCACAGAAAAAAATCCACACGTCAAGAGGAGCATTAATTTACTGAAAAAGTGCTGGCAACAAGAAGCCCAGGGGTACGTGCAGAAGATTTTGCAGCATTTACATAACGTAAACCTAAACCCACAGCGAGAACAGCAAAGCACTGGCACGCGACGTGAACCCGAGGCATTAGATCTGCCGAAACGCAACCCCCGAGGCCAGTGGCAAAGGGGGTCAGAAGCGTTACACAAGGCATTTGTAATACAAGACCTTGGAAAAGAAGAACATGGAGGCTGCTCGTTAGCAAAGGCGTGGAGAAGCGAGGGCCAGGAGCAGCTGGGGTGGGCAGATTTCAACTAGATATAATTTTTTTTTTTTTTTTTTTTTTACAAAAAGGATTTTAAGAAGCATCCAAGAAATCCCAGCATGCAAACAGAACCACCACCACTTATTACTTTGCACTCCTTTAGAAATGGAGCAATCCACTCCCTACAGGAAGTGTTTAATTCACATGTGCTGCAGGAGAGGCACACGCAGGTCTCCAAGCGTTTTGAACATGATCACTGTCTGTTAATCAGCTATTAATTGAGGTGCACAGACACGGTCTTCTCCGCAGGCTCAGAGGTTTAGTTCTGGTTCCCTGGTCAGCGTTCACGCCGCTCTGCCTGTAGCTGCGTTTCTTCCTCTTCTTATTAATTAGGGTGTTAATAAGGAAAACGAGAGGAGACCGAGAGCTGGAGCAGGGC